CGACACGTCGAAGCGATCCTCGAGCGTTGCTTTCTCTGCTGCTATCTATAGATCGACCGAAAATTACTCAAGGGCGCGAAAATACAAAAATAAGATACTGCAGTCGACTGTCGGAGAAAGAGAAAGAGCGAGCAAAATAGAGAGGGGCACAGAAGAAAGCCATAAAAAAGGAGAGAGAAAGAAAAATGGAAAATTTATAGGTCGCAATGCAGTGGGGTATGCATAGGACTCGGGCCAATCTCTCTCTCTGTCGCTCGGACGACAAGAAAAAGGAACGCGCGCGCGTGCTTAGCAAGCCAACATCGCATGTTTCACGGCGGGCAACTCGAAAATAGAAGTTATCGCGCGAGGCACGCAAAAACGAACATGTACACACTTTCGCGCAATGCGCCTGCACAGTCGATACACGCTACGCGATGTACGCGGCGCAGACTAAAATTTACCTATGCAAAATTTCAATGGCTTTAAATAGCGAACGAATGCGTGTCCCCGCGTGCAACAATATGATAAGAGCCTCGGCGACGCCGGCAGAATTACAGCTCTACGCGCGAGCGCCAATCTACGTCGTTTTATCTGATTTTACGACGATATATACCGGCCCCTGCGACTCTCTAAAGCTACGCTCCGAGAGCTTCTATACATAGCTCTGAGGCATTTAAAAAACGACAATGACATAACCGCAGTGAATTTAAAAGATCGCTCGCACCTGGAAGAAAGTGAAACAACAAAAAAAATGAGAGACAAAACCAAAAAAAAAATAAAAAGATGGTCAAGTCGCTTTTACGACTATACGTGATGTCTAACGTCGACGTAATACCCATACCGCTCGAAAGAACAAACGGCCTGGCATGGATGCGCGTCGGTTCGCAGTGTATGTATACCATTGCATTCCCCATATGCCGGCATTTTTTTCTCTTTTTCGCGAGTTTACGTAGGAGAAGGAAGCCAAGTGCACGAGGAGAACGAGCGAAGGAAAAGAAAACACGGGTAACGAAGGGAAGAGGCGAATAACAACGCACACAAGAATCAAAGTCTCAAGGCTAGTAAGGACTTAGATGTGTGTGAGTATGTGAGGAGTTTATGCATCGCGCATCGAGACGACCTTCGAGTCTCCTATGTTGCACATGGCCCTGAGCAACTCTTGGTGTGCATGTGTGTTTGTGTGTGTGTGTGTGTGTTTTGTGCGTGTGTGTATATATATATTGTACATAAAACCACGGTCAAGGCCAACTTTATATGGTGCGCGCTGCTGTTGTTGCCGCTGCTTCGCCATATAGCCACAAGCGCTGTTTCTTACTCTCTTGCTCTTTTTTTCCTCCTCGCGCGTCTCTTCTCCTTCTTCTTAATTTTAATCTGAATAGCTGCAACAGAAGCAACCCCCTTTGCCTTTTATAAGGCCTGTGATGCAAAAACTCGATTACGAGGACACGAGGTATTTTTCGGCGCTGCAGCCGGTTTCTCGCTCCTCCTCGATCGCTTTAAAAATACATATACGACGATATAGCCACAGCCGTGGCACGGGAGGAAGGGCAAAAAAAAGGATTGCAGGATGAGTTTTTATTTTCCTTTTTCGTGCTTTTTGCTTTTTCTCTTCTTCTCTTTAACGAAGCAGCAGCAATAGACGCAGAATACGAAGAAGAAGAAGAAAGAGAAGATGAAGAAAAATAAGACGAAGCTATACAAGAGAGTGAGAGAGAAAGAGAGAATGCGCTTGCGTGCAGGATTTCGTAATTCGTGCTGTTTACGTTCTTATATGGGTTTATAATATATGTTATACTAGTGCTATCTGGCGTGCGTGTGCGCGCACGATATTTTACTGTCAGTGACTGGTTTTGCCTATACGTGATTACTACTAATGTTTATATTTAAGAAATCGTTATATTTTTATAGAAAGAACTTTTATTTCAAACTTTTTCAAAATTAAATATACCCGGCCATCTTAATATGGCTTCTGTCAGGCAATCGTACTCACAACAGAATGACAGTAGTTATTGTTATTATCATTTAAAATATAGACGATTTAATAAATCCTTTACACATCCTACAATACCGTCGATGCTCCAAAGTTGTTTACATCGCGTTTTAAGCCTATGATAGGGTTCATTTTGCGACCTTCAATTGAATAATTACGCAATCGTCTCTGATCCGACTTCTTTTTCCACGAAAAAAGAATGATCTATTAATACAAATGGTCGGTATTTCCCATGAATCGTTTAAGAAAAAAATATGTAAATCCTAATCCATCGGGCGATGATTGTATGAAGCGCACGACCCACTATTGATATCAAGCAAAACAATAAAATTATGGCACATATCGACCAAGAACAGCTGAGATGATACTATTTTTATACATCATTATAAGTGTTATTGACTTCATTTAACGCGAGACATCTTAAAAAGATCCAAAAATTAGTCACCTACGCTGTGTTACTTCATTAGATGACACAGAAAAATTAACAGTATTCATTTTCATAATAAGAAACGTTTATAAATATAGACATCATTGATCGTGGCGTACGTGTGTTTTATACGTGTACAACAAAGCCTTTGCCTACATGTATGTATTCAAAACACAACAGTATAATTTAAATCATTGCTGAAAAATTCAAAAAACAATACAAGGTTTTTACGCAGCTTTTGAATTTTGTCTGTTGTATGATTATCGTTGGCCTGTGTTTATATACAGGATCGCCGAACGTATACAATACGACAAACGTATACAAACGTTTATTTTGAATGTTTTTCTAAATAAATAAAAAAAAAAGAAGATGAAAGATCGTCCGCTGCCTGAAGATCACGTAGACCAGAGAAGCGTGCATGAGTAATAAATAACGCGATCTATCGTTATTACATACCTTCGTAACGAATCGGTGGAAATGGCCCGCTACAAAATTTTCCACTTTTTTTTTTGAGGAATATTAATAGTCGCTACTCTTTGCCCAATACGTCCGAGTGGGTCTATTCGATAAGCGATTAAAAACGACAGCAGCGTAAAGAAGGTCTATAAACCGAGCACAAAAATAACGCAAGCTGCGAGGTAAAATACTGCAGAGAAATGTACGTATAAAATTGAAGCACAACAAAAGTGTGAAAACAATGGATGGAGCGCGTTCGATGCAAAATAAGGTAGGTATCGAGTGTTGTCGAATCGGAGCCCTATAATACTCGCGCCAAGAGACCAGGCCCCGGAGTGAAAGAGCAATAACCTATACGCGTCTCTTTTCTCTCGTTCTTCCTGGATTTTTTCTTTCACAAAAAAAGAAATGAATAATAACCTAAGTACCTGTCCGCGTGTATAATGGAGCATTATCCGTTTTTCCCTCGTGTATATATATGTACTTATACAGCAGCGCAGCGACTCTTTCAATACACACCCCGTGTGCGTAGTTGGACTTTCGGTCTCCTCCGCTTTTCCCCTATATGTTAGCAGCAGTGGCATTGCTCCGAAACTCACGATTTCACTTACAATTAAATCGATGGTAAATCTGAAAATTTTACCGTAAGAGCGGCAACAAAGCCATTGCAACGGTACATCGTAGTCTTTCTTCCTTCGTCAATCTCGTATTTTGGGTTTTTCGGGTGAAAAAGAAAAAGAAATAGTAAAACGCTCGTGTTGTGTAAAAACGAAAAATTCAATCCAAAGCCAGGATAAAGCCAGGACAAAGTTTGAAAAATATTCCTGTTTATAAATAAATGCTCGCAGACAGTTCGAGAGAGCTGACGTGAATCGAATATCGAGTAGCAGACGACGATCATTGCTTCGATTCGAGAACTGCCTCAAGTATACACATGTAGCACAACACACTCGAGCTCGCGATTCAGCGACACACTCGGGGGTACGGCTCCGCCTAATAATTAAGCGCACAGCACAAACGTCGTCGTCGTCGTCGTAGTCGTCGTATCGAGTCGTGTTACAGAAAAATTTTTGCATCAGCAGCCGTGGTATATCGCGTGGAAAATTGAATAACGTGGTAAGGAGTCGACTCGTGCTGAGAGTCCGGTGAAAAAAAGGGCGTAAGATGTAGGTATACATATACGTGTGAAAATCCAGCAGCACTCGTTCTTTTTCTCACAGGGAGCGTCGTCGCGTGTTTTTCTCTCGGCGAAGCGCATAACACATTTTATTAAAACAAAAAAAAAAAACAAATCCGTAAACTCGATATCACGAGTTCGTACGAGAATCGGGCGTTGTTTTTGTCGTGAGCCTTTAATCTCTCGTTGAGCTCTGCAATAATGAATGATCGTTTACATGTGCAAGAATATAACTCGTTTACGTGTGTGCAGAGCGCATAAATTATTTAAATCGCAAGAGCTTCTTTTTCCTCGCGTGATAATGAGAAAAAAATCGATTCCGATAATAAGAAAAATAATATGTATACGAGCGATTAAATCACATTACCATGCAACATTACATAACTGATAAATGTATAAATCGAGGCCTCATCTGCCGAAACGTCAACAACAGGCAAATGCACGGTTGTAAGTGTGTGAGTGCCTGTGCATGTGCGCTCTCTGACAATTATTCGCCGAGTTTACGTATAAGTAATGCTTTTCATGTTTTCGGTGCAAATTTTTGTAAAAAATGTTTAAAAAGTTGGGAAAAATACACAAGAGTTATTGCTCCGAATTTGCTCGCTTTAGTATATGCACACACACGGCACTAACGCAAGTGTTCTTTTCGATAATCATAATATAAACAGAGAGACAAGATAATGCAGCTGTCAAAGATGTCTTGTGTATACAATTCTAAAAAACAATCATAAACAGATTAAACGCTCGGGGCATGCGTGTATGTGTGTGTATACGTGTAAAAGCAGACGTAAATACTACGTTCAAAACACAAATACGCGACCGCAGCAAAAAATCTCGATTAAGAAAAGGAGAATGAGATTTTCCGAGAAACTCCGGACGATGAAAGGGGGGATTTGCGCGAAAGGTAAGGTAAACAAACAATGCGATGTATACACATGACTACATAATGAAGAGTTATAGATACGTACCTAATTCGATCGCTGAAAAAGTCCACCTTGCTCTTGCGCTTGGCGATGGCTTGAGGTTGATGGAGCGGACTGACACTCGTCTCGCTGGTGGCGAGCGGCGAGCACGAGCCGGTACTGCTCGACCAACTTCCAGCCCTGCCTCGGCCGTTGTTCTGGTGGTGTTGCTGCTGTTGGTGCTGTTGGTGATGCTGTTGATGCTGGGCCTCGATGATCTGCGAGCCATCGCTGCTCCCGTTGCGCTGCAGCATCGAGCTGCTGTTGTTGTTGTTGCTGCTGCTGCTGCCGTTGTTACTGGCGCTGCCGTTGACCAAGGAACCCGCGGACGTCAAAGAAGCCAGACTCGCTCGGGCGTTGCTGGCGTTGCCGGCGGCGTTGTTGTTGGCGTTGTTCTGCCTGTTGCGGCGCTTCTTCTTCTTGACCTCGGAGGCGTTGTTGTTGGCCACGCTGGCGCCGTTCATGAGCTGCTGCATGCTGCTCTGGAGCTCGCTGGCTGCGTCCGCGGCGCTGCTGTGGTTGCTGCTGTTGCTGTTGCTCCTCTGGCCCGGGGGAATCCAGTCGAGGTCTTTCTTCAGGTGGCCCCGGCCGCACTTGCAGCCGCAGGCCTTGAAGGCCAGGTCGTAGCCCTTCTTGGACCAGAGGTTCTGGTGGCGCTGGCGCTCGGACCAGCTGCGGGCACGGCCGCAGGTCTTGAGGTAGGCCAGCAGGGTCAGCTCCCAGGCCTCGAAGCACTCGCGATGCATGAACTGGCCGGCCGGGCAGGCCTCGTTGTTGCAGACGACTTTGACGCACTCGTGGAGTACGCTCGGCCTGATGAGCGAGTCGCTGCGCAGACACTCGCCGGCCGGCGTGCAGCACTGCTGAAAACCCGCACTAGTGTTGTTGCCACCGCTGTTATTACTGTTGCTGTTGTTGATCATCTGTAGATGCTGCTGCATTATCAGATCGGAGGTCTCGACCATTTGGAACAGTTGCTGGTGCTGCTGGTGCTGCTGCTGTTGCTGCTGCTGATGAGGGGGTGGCTGCGGCTGGAAGGTCGTGCTGCCGTCGAGCAGCGTCGAGCCGTGGCGTCTGGGTGCCATCGCGCTGGGTGAGTTTTTTTTCTCCTTATCTCTCTCTCTCTCTCTCTTTCACTCGCTCTCAGGCAGTCGGAGATTCGATCGATGTTCGGACGGGGGAGTGATGCTCACCTGGGCGAGAAATCTCGCGCTCGACTAGTTTCTTTCACTAGCACTCGCACACTCGGTCGAGCTGCAGCTGCTTCGATTTAGCCTCTAACCGCACGGGCACGTCTCAGAATTCCATGATGTCTTGGTGATTGCTGGCGCGTTGATAAACGAAGATACGACGCTCTCGCGCACGCTCGGCGGGCAGAAACGTCAAAAAACGAGCCGGCAAAGCTGATCGAACGACACTCGCGCAATAATCAGCATAAACAACGACGCTAAACGATACGAAAACTTAAACACTGAGGATCATTCACACATCGAGTAACAAAGGGCGAGATGCAACGTTTATATTGCAACTTGATGGAAACGAATGACAGACGAGAGGCTGACTGATTGTTGCTGTCCCTCTCTCTCTCTTTCTCTCTCGACGACGACGAAGACGATGACTGCTCGCAACGAAATGAAACAGGCTCACTAGTATATACTCGTTATATTATAAACACTCGTAAAATCACAATCGAAGTTTTATCGGGTATTTGATTTTATAATAAATATAAAACAAGTTGCTGCGACTCGGATGCGTGATCATTTGAACGAGGAGCTTATGTTTTGATTATGTAAATTGACGTCGTCGATGTTGTGTGTGTTTGTTTGTTGCCGATACGCTGCTGCACTACTATTGCTGCTCCGCTACTGCTGCTGGTGCTGTTGTTGTTATTGTTGTTGTTGCTGGTCTGTTTATTGTGGTATGTGTACTGTCGCAGACGATGATGACACACGTGGTTACACGCGGAGTGCGCAGCGGTTACTAAAAGCTTCACGCCAGTCTCGGCTCGCTCGAACGCCGGCTCGCTCGCGCTACATCGGAGCAGCAGCGCATGCGGCCATTCCCCGCACGCTACAGTGGTAGTGGTTGTACGTGTATTCGCGCACACACACAGATTCGCGCAGCGGCGGCGATATTGCTATGTGTAGGTAGGTGTACAGTATGTATGTATGTATTTTGCACGCCAAAGTGTGTAGTGCGTTTGCTGCTGCTACGGCGTCGCTGCCGCTGCTGCTGTCGAGCGCACGAAAGTGAGATCCCCATTGGGTGAAAGCGAAAGGCCGCAGTTATAAAGTGGTGGCGCGCGAGTAGCAAAGAGCAATCGATGTTCCGAGTGTCGCCGGTCGCCGCCGCCGCCGTCGTCGCATCATCCCTTTGCGCTTTGCTCGTATGTATAGCTATATACGCTATATATGAGCCTCTCTTTCTCTCTCTCTCTCTTTGCAACCTGCCGTAATGCCTTATGGGGCTTCCTCGTTGCCTTTACGGAGAATCTACCGGAAAAAGAGCTGGGTTTTTTCGGGGAGGTTTTTTGCGCTAGTTAACTCGAGAGACTTTTGTACGTGTAGCGCGAAAGTCCATTCCTAAAATAGCGACGAGTGCGCGTCTTACTCTCGTCGTTCTATGCCTTCTATTCGAATCGAGCTTGAATCAACTTTTATCTCGCGGACTGCCGAGGGCTAAACAACAATGATCCAAGAAATTAAAAAGCGGATCAGTCGGTCGGGCATCTACGGGACAATTATCCGCGCCGAGTTCGCTCGAGCTTTTTACCCGGTAGAATATATATCATTACTTTTCGAGCAAGCAGCACAAAGAAGTCGAGAAAAAGGACTCGGATTGGAGCGCGACGACTTGTGCTGTGCGAGTCGAGGGCTCTCCCGTGGGCGTCCGATCGAGCTTGACGCGGGGAGCACGAGTAGTTGCACGTAGCAGTGGTGGTATAGTGCAGCTTCTGTATATGCGCGCGGCGCGGCGCACTTGAAAAGCTCGGGCGAGCCTACGGCACGTTCGAATGTGCCTCGTATACACACACACATATACCGAATTCGGAGCAAGGTCGCAGATGGGAGTCGCGGCTCTAAAATTCGCCCGACTTCTTTTCTTCCTACGCAAACTTTACGTATACGTACGATTTATATACGTTGTATTAGTGAGCTGATGTTTATACATGTAATGTGTGTGTGTGTGTGTGTGTATGAGAAAATATAAAAATGAGATGGCCGTCGACGGGAAGCGCCTCGCCCTCGCTTGATATTACAACCAACACATTTAAAAGTACACATATTATGTATGTGTATAAATGTCTACATGTTCACGAGACAATGTCAGTGCGACCTTGGCTGATAACTTTTTTTTATCTCCTGGCCGCGAGCGTGATTGTGTGCGTGTGTGTGTGTGTGAGAGAGTCGCTGTTTTATATATATAATACTCGCTGCCGTAGAGCCGCGGACAATCGTACTCGTACAATCCGTCAAAATAAGTGACTACATGTACGCAACCATTTGTAAGAGAGCATGCGAGCGATAATTCGGTGACACTTGCTCTCTGTGTCACGAATGTAAGTCTGAGCATAGTCGCCAGCGTATCGCCTTACACAGCATTGTTACGTGCGACTCGTTAAATCATAATACAAGAGCCGTGCAATTTCTGAGTCGCGGAGCTCTAGCGCTTACCTGATCGCGACGTGCTGAATCAGTGTAGTGGCCCGACGACGACGACGACGACGACGCGACCGATGAGTATTCGAATGTCGGTCTAGACTTTGCAACGAATCCTGTTTACATACCAAGTCGTATTTTCTGAAAATCGACGATTTAACTGAATTTTTCGTTATCCGGCTTTATCATACAAAATTATGCGTGAAAAATTGCCTCTCGAGTGCACGTACATAGCTCCAAACGCAAAACATTGAATGCAAAAGTTCACGTATTCTCCTCTCTATTGTGTACATATTCTATATTGGGCGACTGTTGTGTCGCGCATGCATGTCAGACAGCGCAGCATATGTCACGATCGCTGTTGCTGCACGAGCTCGAGCATATACTCCTTTTTCGCCATATACACTCGACATTATCGCCTCGTCTCGCCCGAAAGGAACCTTCGTAAGTACACACGTATACGATATATACGCGCGTGGGCATAAATATCGAGATAAAAGGCAAAAAAAAAAAAACAGGCGCAGGATTTTTTCCCCACCGCGTACATGCATATACTTTGTAAACATACACATATGCAGCATTATACGACTGCACACTGATGAATTTTCGTCGCTTGTTAATTTTTTGCAGAAGCAGTGGCTCGACTTGCTGTGCGCGCGCGCGAGAGAGAGAGCTTATCGTTGTTATTCTCTCTCTTTTTTTCTTCATTTTTTTTCATATACACGATAAAAGACTCGCCGTTCGCGACTCGCTGTTTATATGCAGCAACAGCAGCAGCGAGCGAGTCCGTAAGTGTAAGTATACATATATTCGCGTTCGAATGAATCGGAGCCGAGGAAAAAATCTCTCTCTCTCTCTCTCTCTCTCTCACTCTTTCTCGTAGCGCGTGCAGTTGGTGCGAAAAATAAGCTGCAAAACAAACGATAGCTGTTGGCTGCTGCTCTCCTGCATATATACGTAGGTCGAACGCGTGTACGATGATACGCGATGTGTGCATACCGAATGCACGAGGCACTTTTTTATTTTTATATCATACGGGCGCGATCGCACACGCGCGGCTACTTGAAATTTTCCTAAAAGCTCGTCCGGCATAATTGTTTTTTCAAATACAGCAATGCGTTCTGGTGATTCGATTTGGCCGACTCGTTAATCATATACCCATCAGCAGTGCATAATACACATCTAGATAGATACGTGGAGTCGGACCGAGCTGCGCGCGGAGATGGGCGCGCACGTGCTCACACGTTTTGCACTTTAGGAGTCGAACGAAAAAAAGGTTCTTAGCGATCGAAAGCCTGGCTTGGCTGAACACACACACACACACACATTCGAGCGGAGCACTCGCCATACGTAGCTTACGATTCTTATGTGCGTGCCCTGTGTGCCTGCTATACATAATGTGTACAAGTGCCTATGTGTGCCTGTGTAAATGTGTACAAGACAGGCAGAGGCAGAGAGAGAGAGAGAACAGAATAAGAGCTGAGCCGTGACTTTTTTACATCTTTTTTCGCACTCCTTCAAAGCCATCTGCGTAAAGTCTGCGTGTGTATATGTGTGCTTGGCCTCTCTCGTTCTCTCTATCTCTCTCCCTCTTTCTTTTCAGCCACCAAAGGCTGCTGCTGATGCAGAACTGCCACTGCATACAGACCAATGCAGTCATAATTCGTTATTTCAACGTCAACTCTCTGCCTCGACGAAAAAGAAAAGAAGAGCAGCGCAGCAGAAAGCGAGAGACAAGTTTTATCAGCGTATAATACGAGCTCGAGCGGTGCACTCCAAGAGCAAGCCAAAAAGTCCGCCCAACATGTGTACGCGCTCATACATAAGACGCTCGTCGTATCGCAATTCGTGCAATCGGCTCTACGTAGCGCCGCAACGTCTTTATAGCGCCTATACCCCAGAGAACTACGTGCAATTAAGCCTTAATTAATCACAAGCCAGCAAGTGCCGCAGTACACGCGAGTATAGTACGAATTCGTTCGTGGCAGAGCTCGAAATAAGAAAGAAAAAAACCCTAATAAGAGCGTGCAAAAGAGACTCCGCATTTTGGCAAGCTTGGAGAGGCTGCTGTCACGAGCATGCGAAATGCTCGCGATTCATATAGCAGATAAAGGACGCGCACCAAATGTATTAATATGTCTATCTCTCTCTCAAAGTATATATAGGCTGCGTGCAGTAACGAAGCCAATCGCAGCTGAGAGAGGTGAGCTCGAGCGCTCGTAGCACTTGGTATATATAATTCACACACACACACACATATATATCGTGATAAGAAGATACATATTAGATTACGCGGCGTAGCTCGTCTGAGAGGCGAGTATAATTTTATTGACCGGCGCGAGGCATTTGAAATACGAGAACGACCAACGCACATGCAGCGTACAGTCGAGCACACACACACAGGCCAGTTCCTTAACCCATACTTGCAACCTTGCAAAAAGCAGCATATATATAATATATATATTTACACTTTGTTTTTCCTTCTACGATGTGGCCGTCGTCTATATATCGCGCAATGAGTATATGCTTTTGCAAGCAACGCTTATTATGGCATCTATTTTTCTCTCTCGCGCGCCGCGGTACAGAATGTTGCATTCGCGACGCGATGCGAGATCGTAATGTTTTGACGCCAACTTGTCCAGCCTTAGGCAATTAGTCACGTTTAAAGAGAATAATGCGTCGAACGAAAATTTCGTCTGTCAAAATTAAATGCAATGGATTCGCCGAAGAATTGGAAAAGTGCAACGATTGCGCGGATCCAGTGATGGAATAAGAGTTTCTTTATATACCGTATACCGCGGCAGCTGCGATGAGCTTAATTACCAATCGTTTGAAAGCCACCTAGTTGTGGTAATAAAAAAGCAAGTCGACGCGTTGCTTACATTATCGTGATAATAATCAGATTATTGAATAATAAATATTCGTAATATTCGCTTCGCTCGTCGAGTATACGAGCGTATAATATAGCAGCTACGAGTACATAATATATAATAATAATAATAATAATGATAATAACATATCGTACGATATATAAGTTGCTCGGGCAATTGGAAATAAATCCGAATCGTTCACTGGCCGCGATTCGCGCATATACACGTACAAACACTTTTATCATTCGAGTGTTGTATTGTAAGATTGCAGATTGCTCGAGGTTGACATAATTAAACATCGGCGATATCCATACTTATACTTGAAGAAGCTTCTCTCCTCGTCTCTCTCTTTTTCTCTTTCTTTCGACAAAGAATAGCTCGCTGCTTTAACGGACACTCGAGAATGACGTTATTCGCCTCGTGTATACGTGTGAAAAGGCATGCACACGAGAAAAATTGAGTTTTCGCGATGTTTCCTTTTGTCGCGTGCAATATACGTTGGATCGA